CCCTACTTTCAACATCCCCCCCCCCCCCCCCCCCAAACTTGACCATCCCAAGCATAAATTTTTGTCTGCTAGACACATCATGTTTAAGAAGCTTGGTAAAAATGTCGGCTGCTTGATCATTTATTCTGCATAGTAGTAGCTCCCCTTCTTTCATCTTTATGTGTTCCCGAATAAAATGAAAATGTGTGTCTATATGTTTGCTTCTTTTATGATGGATTGGATTCTTTGCGAATGCAATTGCTATTTGGTTATCAATATATATCTCAATGGAATTTTCTTGAGGGATTCCCAAATATGTCAGCATATTGTGCAACCAAATAGCATGACATACAGCTAAACTTGCAGCAACATACTCAGCTTCATAACTAGATAGAGTAACAATTGGTTGCTTTTTCGATGACCATATGAATGCAGTTTTCCAATAAAAAATACGAATCCAGTTGCAATGCGAACCATGTAGTAGCATTGACTACGAAACCCACAATGAGATTGTTTCAAAAACCTAAAAAAATCCTAATTAAAGGTTTAGAGTTTGATCCCCAAATCAATGAACAAAAAAATCTAGTAAGAGCGTTGTTTGAAGGACCCCTTGATTACAAAATCCAAGACATGCACCCAAATTGTAGAATGCCACAAGAATTATGATTCATGATAAGTTCAAATTGTTCGATGAAGAACGGGAGTAGAAAGCAATATGCCTTTCAATTTAATTCACTCAATAATAATGTCTTGTAAACTTACAATTGAAAAAAATAACCTGTATTTATACTAAGCTCAAAATCCTAGAAATCTAGTAAAAATTCGTGAAAATATAAGTCAAAGATTACTAGAATCTTGCTAAAATTAAAAATCTAACAAAATAAGGAAAATTCGAAAAAAGGAAAATTTTGATCTATGCAGCCACGTAGAGTATTTCTATGCGGTTGCATAGAAGAAACGGTTGGTGCAAAAAATTCCCTGCACGCCTTCATGCAACCACATGAATAACTATGCGGTCGCATAGTTCTTCGTGACAGCTCCTTCTTCATACGCTTGTATCGCATTGATCCATTTCACTTCAACTCTCAACACGAACACAAAAGTTGCCTCATTTTACGTCTTGACCATTGCTCCATCAATCGTTGATTGAAGTAGCAACCCAATTGTTGTTTCGCTCGCTTTGCCCTTGATCACGTCATCGATCCACCTTTGATTATCAACAGGTCTCGTTCTGTACTCGCCTTCGTCTAGCTCAACTCCTAGATCACATCATCCCCTCCCTCTCTTCAAAAGAATTCATTCTTGAATTTGAACCTAGATCAAAGAGAGAGAGAGAGATCAGATACATTAAAAGTTGCTAAAACATTATACTCACCTGGAAGATCTAGTTTGTAAGCATTGTCATTGATTTCCTCGATGACTTGAAATGGACCATCTCCTCGCGGTTGAAGTTTCAACTTTCTTTGTTCTGAAAAACGCTCATTCCTAAAATGCATCCAAACGTAATCTCTTCATTCAAATGTCAAGCATTTTCTGCCTTTGTTTGCCTGTGATGCAACAAGCTTGCTTTTGTTTTCGATCTTCAACTTTACCTTCTTGTGAAGTGATTTCACCAATTCTACTTTCTTTTTACCATCTAAACTACCTCGCTCATTCACTGGTGGAATTAAATCCAACAATATTAGTGGATTAAAACCATAAACAATTTCAAAAGGAGTAAACGAAGTGGTAGAATGAGTAGTACGATTATAAACAAATTCAATGAAAGGTAAACAATCTTACCAATTTTTCAAGTTCTTGTTGATTACCATATGTAGCAATTGACCATTGTCCTATTGACTACTTCAGTTTGCCCATCAGTTTGTGGGTGACAAGTCATAGAAAATAATAATTTGTGTGTAACTCATCCCACAAAACTCGCCAAAAGTGACTTAAAAATTTATCGTCCCTATCCGACACTATACTTTTTGGAACCCGATGCAAACGCACTACTTCAGTAAAGAACAAGTCAGCTATATGTGTGGCATCGTTTGTTTTGTGACATGATATAAAGTGTGTCATTTTACTAAACTTATCTACCACCACAAAAATTGCATCACGTTCATTCGTACTCCTAGGTAAACCCAAAACAAAATCCATTGAGATATCAACCCAAGTTTCACTAGGTATAGGTAACGGTGTGTATTGTCCTTGAAGTAAAACTCTAGACTTAGCACGTTTGCAAATTATTCATCGACTACAAACTCTCTCAACCTCACTTTTCATCTTAGGCTAATAGAAATGCTTACCTAACATCTCTAAGGTCTTTTGTATCCCAAAGTATCCTATAAGTCCACCACTATGAGCTGCTCTCACCAATAACTCTCGTATTCAACAATTAGGTACACACAGTTTATTTCCAGAAATAAATAACCTTCGTGCTTAAAGAATTTATCAATAGCCCTCTTATCACAATATTTATAAATTTCAGAAAAATCTACATCCTTTTCATACAATTCCTTAATGTGTTCAAAACCAAGCAATTTAGAACCAAGAAAGGTTATTAATGTATACCTCCAAGATAACTCATCTGCCACTATGTTTACTTTACCTTGTTTGTACTTGATGACATATGGAAATGTTTCAATAAACTCCATTCATCTGGCATGCCTCTTGTTCAACTTTCTTTGACCATGCAAATGCTTCAATAACTCGTGATCGGTGTGAATTATAAATTCCTTTGGCCATAAATAATGCAACCAAGTCTCAAAGGCCCAAACAAGTGAATACAATTCCTTATTGTATGTTGGGAATTCAATGCAGCCCATCTCAATTTCTCACTGAAATAAGCTATCGGTCTTTTGTCCTGAATTAAAACTTCTTCAATACCTATCCTTGATGCATCACACTCATTCTCTAAAGTTTTACTAAAATCAGGTCTAAAACTGGTGCATTACATAATTTATCCTTAATCGTTTAAATGCATGTTCCTGCTTCTCGCCCCAATGGAAACCCACACTTTTCTTAACGACCTTTGTAAGTGGTGTAGTGATTGTACTAAAATCTTTTGCAAATCTCCTATAAAAACTAGCCAATCCATGGAAGCTCCTAACTTCAGTTATGCTTTTAGGTGTAGGCCAATCTTAAATAGCTTTAATTTACTCATCATCCACTTCTACCCTATTAGCGCTAACTACAAATCCTAGAAATACCACTTTTTCCATATGAAGTGTACACTTTTTAAAGTTAGCATATAATTATTCATTTCTTAATATTACAAGGACACAACGTAAATGTTCCACATGCTCATCAAGATTTTTGCTATAGATTAATATATCATCAAAGTATACTACAACAAATTTCCAATGAAAGTACGTAAAGCATGGTTCATTAAGCGCATAAAAGTGCTTGGTGTATTTGTGAGTCCAAAAGGCATAACTAACCATTCTTATAAACCATATTTAGTTTTAAATGCCATTTTTCATTCATCACCTTTCTGCATACGAATTTGATGGTACCCACTTTTAAGATCTATTTTACTAAAAATACAAGTACCATGCAATTCATCTAACATATCATCCAACCTAGGAATAGGGTGATGATACTTTACCGTCATATTGTTGATGACTCTACAATCCATGCACATCTGCCATGTCCCATTTTTCTTTGGCACTAGTAACACTGGAACGGCATATGGACTCAAGCTCTCACGAACATAGCCTTTTTTCATCAATTCATCCACTTGCCTCTGAAGCTCCTTGGTCTTCTCAGGATTACTCTAATAAGCTAGTCGATACAAAATAACTGCTTTGGGTATGAAGTCAATTTGATGTTCAATTCCCCGAATGGGTGGAATCCATTAGGTATGTCCTCCGAGAATACATCTTAGAATTTCTACAAAACAGTTTTAGCCAAACTAGGGAGGGGGTCTTAGCTTCCTCCAAATTGAGGAGTGTTTCCTTGTATAATAATAAAAACATCTCTCTATTCTCAATTATTGCCCTACTCAACTCACTCTCTTTTGCAAAGAAATTCAATCATGATTTTTCTTTTCTCTCGGAAGACTCTCCTTCTTTTCTCTCTTGTGGCTCCTCTCTCTTTTTCTCTCTAATAGCAACCTCACAATTTTCTCTCTTACTCACTATCTCATAGTTTTCTCTTTGTTTCTTTCGCTCATACATTTCTCTCATTTTTTCTAACTCACTTACTCTCCTCTCTTCCTCATTCCTTAATTTAATTTGGTCCTCATTTACTTGCACCGATGTTAATGGTCAAGAGTGATAGACTTCCCATCATTGACGAAACTATGGCAATTTTTATACCCATCATGCATAGCCTTCCTATCATATTACCATGATTTTCCCAATAAAATATGTCTCACTTGCATCGGTACCACATCACACATTATTTCATCCCGGTAGCTACCAATTTATATATTTATTAACACCCTTCTATTAACCCTAACTTCTACACTTTCATTTAACCATTGAAATTTATATGGCCTAGGATGCTTCAACAATATTAAATTTAACTTTTCTATTACACTGCATACCGTATTGTTAACATGTCATCGAGAATGGAAGATGATCTCCCACTACAACTCCAAGTCATCCGCCTTGATATGAGTAGTAAGAGCTCTCCTTGCGACAAGTAAATCCCCAACGGCTCCTTCAAATTTTTCTCCATCACTAACCTCGTCTAAGGCCGGCATGTCGTCATAGTCGCCTTCACTTTCGCTTACTGCCTCTCCATTATCCCGTAACACTATTGCCTTTTTATTTGGACATTGCAAAGCGATGTGCCTCGACCCCAAGCACCTAAAACACTTGATGTCTCTATTCTTTGATGGTTACAACTCCGATTTTGGTATTGTTTTGCTAGCGCCTTCATCTTTTCCCTTTTACCAATCATTCCTACCTTTAGGTACAGCCCTGTCACCTTATTATTATCCCACCTTGGCTTCCAAGATGAATTAGAACCCGAAGAACCTAATGGTTGCCTAGTTGTCCCCTCCCTCTTCAATTATCTCCCTACCTTCATGGCAATGTGTAACATATCCTCTAACTCCACATAGTGTTGCAATTCAATGGCATTAGCAATTTCACTATTTAACCCATTCAAGAATCGTGCTATAGTAGCTTTCCAATCTTCCACCACATTCGCCCTAATCATAAGCAACTCCATCTCCTTATGGTAATCCTCTACGCTCTTTGACCCTTGATACAAGCTTTGCAATCTTTGATGGATTTTCCTATTATAGTGATTAGGAACAAACTGTTTCCTCATAACGTCTTCAACTTATCCCAAGTACTAATTGGTCTTCCTCAATGCCTACGATGTGAAGTAACCACCTGATCCCACCAAGATATTGCATAGTCAATAAATTCGAGAATCGACAATTTCACCTTTTTCTCTTCTGAATAGTTATGACACTCAAAAATCAATTCAACCTTCCTCTCCCATTCTAAGTATGCCTCCGAGTCACTTCTCCCCTTAAATTGTAGTATCGCCATTTTAATATTTCCAAAATTGCCATCTACCTCATCTCCAACATTATTCCTACCCTGTCTATTCCGTGTTCGTCCCAAATCAATGCCATTAACCTCATAATCATCCATATCACTATCATACTCCTCACGCCTTACCCTCTTAGGTTCTCGTCTATCCGGTCCCCTAGTATTCAACACCTCTACTGGTTGCCCCTTACTAAGATTAACAATTGCCGAATCTATTTGTGCCATCCAAGCTGCCTGAGTATCACTTTTTCCTTTAAATCCCCAAACACCCTTTCAAAATGTTGAATCACATCATCTGAAGAATTGTTGGGATTACCATATCGGCTTGAATTAGAATATTCTCTTTCTAACATCCTAAAACTAGAAATTTTCTGCCTCACCGATTTTCACTCAGAATTCACACAAGTTTTGGCTTTATCCCTCTATTAAACTCACCACTCTGCCTTTTACCACTCGATGCTTTCTCCCAAGCACTTACTAGAAGAATTTAAAAAAAAAATAAAAATCCATGGAATTCTAAATCGAATGTAAATCCAAGATTGTGAAACCAAAAGGAATGGAAGAATTTAATGGTACTAAGACTTCAAAGTAATTGACTCGACTTGAAAATTAACTCGAAAATTGAAATAAAATATGTTGGTAGAAAATTAAACAAAGGAAGAATAACAATATAACTTTTTTTTGTCTCTCGGCTTTTTTTTTTTGGCCTTTTTTGGTTCCTTTCTTTTCTTTTTTCTGTTTTTTGACACAAAAACAATAACAAGAGTTAAACTACCTTTGAAAGAATTTGACGGTAATATAATGACTCAAACAAAGGAGAAAGACAAGAAAGATGAAAACACAACCGGAGACTCTAAAAAACAAAGAACATGAAGAACACAATGAAAATAAAATGATAAAAAATGCAGAAAACAAAAACACAAGACTCAATGAAAGAAAAACAAAGGATATAGCATGTTAATTGGGAGTCTGTGCTCTAATACCAACTGATACGAACCACGTGATAGTTTTGACTACGAAACCCACGACGAGATTGTTCCAAAAACCCAAAAAGCTTAATTAAAGGTTCAGAGTTTGAGCGCCAAATTAATGAACCAAAAAATCTAGTAAGAGCATTGCTTGAAGGGCCCCTTGATTACACAATCCAAGACCCATACCCGAATTGTAGAATGCCACAAGAATTATGATTCTTAATAAGTTCAAATTGTTCAACGAAGAACAGAAGAAGAAAACAATATAACTTCCAATTTAATTTACTCAACAATAATGTCTTGTAAACTTACAATTGAAAGAAATAAACTATATTTTTACTAAGCTCAAAATCCTAGAAATCTAGTAAAAATTTGTGAAAATATAAGTCAAAGATTACAAGAATCTTGCTAAAATTAAAAATCTAACAAAATAAGGAAAATTTGGAAAAAGAAAATTTTTGACCAAATTTTGACCTATGTGGTCACATAGAGTATCTCTATGCGGTCGCATAGAAGAATCAGTCGCTACCAAAAATTTCCCTACAGGCCTTCATGTGATTGCAAGTCATGAATAACTATGTGGTCGCATAGTTCTTCTCAGCAGCTCCTTCTTCAGCCGCTTTTATCGCATTGATCCATTTCACTTCGATTCTCAACCTAAACACGAAAGTTGCCTTGTTTTGTGTCCCGAACATTGTTCTATCAATGTTGATTGAACTAGCAACCTCATCGCTTGTTTCACTCGCTCTGCCCTCAATTATGTCATCGGTCCGTCTTCGATTATCAACGGGTCTCGTTCTACACTCGCCGTCGTCAAGCTCAACTCCTAGATCACATCAAGTTGTACTTTTCCTTTCATCTATATCTCTTCTCCAATCACTATCTGAATAATCGGTGAGCTTAAAATCATTAGTAGATGTACATAGTAAGCTTTCATTGATTGTACCTTTAAGATAGTGGAGTATTCTTTTTGCTGTATTAAGATGGGACTGATATGGTGTTTCCATATGTCTGTTGATCAATCCTACGCCATAGAGTATATCCGATTTGGTGCATGTTAATCTAAGGCTTCCAACCAAGCTCTTGAAATATGTAGAATCGATATCACCATCTTCAGTTTTGCGTAGTTTTAGTCTACTTTCAACGGGAGTAATAACCGGATTACACTACTCCACTCCAAATTTCTTTAAAATATCTACTGCATAGGCACTTTGAGAAATAAAAATACCATCTCCTTGTTGCTTAACTTCAATCCCAAGAAAGTACGCCATCAATCCAGTATCAGTCGTCTCAAATTCTTTCATCACATTTTCTTTGAAGGCTTCATACATGGATGGATTTTTTCTTGTAAAAATCAAATCATCCACATATTAACAGATAAATAGTATGCCTCCATTTTCTTCTCATTTTACATATATTGCATGTTCATACGGGCATTGCATAAGCCCATTCTTTTTAAAGTAATTATCAATACGGGTATTCCATGCTCAGGGGGCTTGATTGAGTCCCATAAAGAGCTTTTTCAATTTATAAACTTTATTTAGTTGATCATCTCGTACATATCCTGGTGGTTGCTTGACATATATGTCTTCTTCAAGATATCCATTTAGAAATGCTGTCTTGACATCAAGCTGATAAATTTCCCATCTGTGTTCTGCAACCAGTGAAATCAACAATCGAATTGTCTCCATGCATACAACAAGTGCAAATATTTCTCAATAGTCAGTTCCTGCTTTTTGAGAGTAACCTTGTGCAACCAACCTTGCTTTATACCTCTGAATTTCGCGTTCTGTATTCTTTTTAATTTTGTCCATCCATTTTACTCCAATGGCCTTTTTCATTTGGGTAACTCAATGATCTTCCTTGTGTTGTTTTTCTCATTAGAACTATTTTCTTCATCCATTGCTTTCTACCATCTTTTATCAGTTGAAGCTTCTTCAGAAGAAAGTGGTTCACTGTTAGCTAATAAACAAAGCAATTCATATTGTTTACCTTATTGTTCAGCAGCATCATAAATATCCCTCAAGCTTCTTATCTTTCTCGGCCTTTCTTCAAAGGATGATTTTGATGAAGATGATAAATCTTCTGATGTTGTGGGTGAGCTAGATACAATTATTTGTGTGCCGCTTGCTCCACTGTTTGGTGGTTGACATTGTTGAAATTTTTCTAGCTCAAGAATTAAACAAACTTGCTCAACATCTTTAGCATTCTCCCAACTCCAAGTTTTATCTTCAAAGATTAAATCTCAACTCACGATAATATCATTTGTAATGGGATTGTATAACATGTATCCCATTATTGTATCACCATGCCAATAAAGATGCATTTATATCCTTTGTCATCAAGTTTAGTTCTTATTGCTTCTGGGCTCTATACATAAGCTATACATCCAAATACTTGAAGGTGATTTGCACTAGGCTTATATGTGCTCCAAGCCTCTTCAGGTGTTACTTTACGAACATTCTTGGTAGGACACCGATTCAATAAATATACTGCAGTTGAAACTGCTTCAACCTAAAATCCTTTAGGTAATTTCTTATCTTTTAACATACTTTTCACCATATCGAGAATTGTACGGTTCTTTCATTCAACTACGCCATTCAATTGGGGAGTATAGGCTGGTGTGAACTATTTTTTGATGCGATTCAAATTGCAAAGCTTTTAAATGTATCAGAAGTATATTCTCATCCCTGATCTGACTACAATATCTTTATGTGATAGCTACTTTGTTTTTCAGCACTGGACTTGAATTCTTTAGATGCATTCAACACCTCTAACTTTTTCTTAAGAAAGTATATCCATGTCTTTCTACAATAGTCATCAATAAACGTAAAAAACTACCTATTTTGCTCATTTGATATTGGCTTCAATGGACCACATACATCTCTATGGACCAACTCCAGTGGCTTCTTTGCTCT